ACCTTCCTGCAAGCAAATCCCATCGGCGCCCAGGGGCCTCTGCAGGGGCCGGCACCCCCCCCGGGTCCCTCTGCTCCCCCCCTGCCCTGCCCACTCCCCAGTCCCCTCCTCGCTGGGGTGGCATGTGGACACAGGGGGGCACAGAGGCTCTCCCACACTCATCCCGCTGTCCCAGTGAGAGAGGAGCCCCAAACCTGGCCCGTGCCCTCCACCACCCCCAGGCCAGCCCTGCGCCCCCACCTTGGCCCCCTGCCCTCCACCTACTTGTTGCCCGACTCATCCACGTATTCACTGCGGTAGAAGCCGGCCAAGTCGTCAGCCAGCTCCCCTGTGAAGATGCTGACAAGCCGGTAGCGCTGGCCCTGCTGCAGCAGGCCATTCAACTGCACCACCAGGTACTGGGTGGGGGTCTCCAGCCAGGTGTTACTGATGTGGGGCACGCTGGAGCCATCCACCGCATGCAGTGAGGTGTGGAAGGGCCCCTGCAGGGTGTACTTCAGCTTCTTGCTGTGTATGAGGATGAGGTCAGTGGCTTCCATGCAGACGAAGACCACGCTGCTGTTGCCCTTGAAGATGTACGTGTTGTTGGCATCGGGCGTCAGGAAGGGCTGCAGGGTCACCTCGTAGGACTCCGGCCTCAGCGTCGTCGGCAGCCTCCACCGGTTCCAGGGCTTGTTGGGAGCAGCGGTGGTGTTGGGGGCAGCGGTGGTGTTGGGGGCAGCAGTGGAGGGGGGGGCAGCCGTGGTGGTGGTGGTGTCGGCAATGCCAGGATCTGTTGGCTTGTTCTTCTCCTGGGCATACACCACTGAGAGCGCGATGATGGTGGCCACGGCCCCCAGGCCCAGCACAATGGCCACGATGCCCACACTCTTGCTGATGAAGAAGCCGGCAGCCATGGCGGGGCTGCAGGAGCGGTGCTCGTGAAGGAGGCACTGCCCGGCTGGCACGGCTTTTAGCCTCTCGCTCCCACAAGGTTTATTAGTCTAAGTTAATGGGTGAAGTATTAAACGACCATGAGGCTCAGGATGGCGATGGCCCCTGGGATGAGCCTTCCACCCGCCCTCCTCCCGGCCTTGCAGGAGCACTAACACCCAGTGCCGCTGCAGCAGGGAGTAAAACCGGCAGCTCAGGATTGCACCATCAGGGATGGGCAGTGTGGGAGTTGGCACGGGCTGTGGGCCAGAACTCCCAGGGTCCCTCCTGAGCACCGGCCTGGTCCTGCAAAAGGGACAGAGCGGGTGGTCACAGCCGGTGGCCACGTCCCTGCCTCGCCATGAGGCAAGGTGGGTGGCCCCGGAACCCAAGCCCAGCCTCCGGCTCAGCATCGCCCTGTTTGCCCTCGACTGATGGGGTGGTCTGAGCCACTGCTGGGGGGTCCCGGCCGCCCCTCTGCCTGCAAGGGACCTATTGCTGGGGCTGAGGGCACAGCAGATGGGGGCCAGCACCTGCACCCTGGAGGGGCACACCTCGTCGGGCTGCCCACGCACCAGGGGAAAAGCGGGAGGGCACACAGTGCAGCTCCAGGAGGCCACAGCGGCGCAGGTGGAGCCCGGGACCATGCTGGGGAGGACCCCACCCTGCCTGCAGCCCTCTCAAAGTCCAGGGTTGCATCGCCTGGCTCGCACCTGGAGGTCAAACTCCGGGCCCCGTGAACCCAGTCCAAGCAGGAGCATGCCCACTGCTGCCAGCCATGGGGCACCCAGCAGCCTGCACACACCACAGGCCGCGCTTGGTCCTCCCACCAGCCGCAGCCCCGGTGAGCTGGTGTCTCAACCAGCATGGCACATGGCTGGGAGACGGCGGGTCTTGTGGGCAGAGCCTTGCCTGTGCCCCACGGCGCAGAGCCCCCGGCCAGGGGCCTGGCTGGAGCCAAGCAAGCACACCAGGGCTCGGGGTGCTGGTGCACGGGACAGGGGCACATGCTTCTCCGTGAGAGCTCTGCCCTGGCAGGGGAGAGCAGCCTGAGCCCCCTAGGCTGTGTGGGTCAGCCCCAGGATCTCTGCCAGAGGCTTCCCCAGGCACAGCAGAAAGCCACGGAGCAAAGTCCCTGTGCGGGTCAGGGTGGGGAGGGGAGGCGCTGCTTCTCGCCTTGGGAATAGAAACTCCTTTCCCCAAGATCTGATCTCCAGTGGGGTGACATGGGCAGGTCCTGCTGAGAGCCGCAGCTCTGGGGCAAGGGGTGAACCCAGGAAGAGGCTGAGCAGTGTCCTCAGGGAACTGTGCCCTGTCCCTGACAGCGCCCAGCTGCACCCGCCGGCATCACTGTGCCTGGCAGAGCAGCCCTGGGATGGTGCGGCATCCCTGAGCATCCCCTTCCCCACAGAGCCTGGACATCCCTGCGGCCTAGCCAGCCACTGCTGCGTGCAGGGCTGCAGCACAGGCATGCTCTGTCCCGCTCCCTGCCCTTGCTTTGGCCAAAGGCACAGGGTTTGGGGAACAGCGTACACCAAATCACAGCTGGGACAGCTCCCCCGGGACTGGGGGCCACAGCTAGCTGGGAGGGTGCCGGGCACCCCGCACACCCTCTGTCCTGCACTGATGGTCATACTGCACCCCTGCCCGGCACTGGCCCTCCCCACACAGACCCCCTCGGGCACTGTGTGCAGGCACTCACCCCAGCTCGCCTCCGCGCTGGCCCCCTGTTAACACCAGCCAGCCCCTGTGCCCCTCCCTGACCCCCCTTCCCAGATTGCCTGCACCACCCCACGCCACACACGCCCCATCTCCCCCAGCCCCAGTGCACGCAGGCTCCTGATGGACCCACTGCAAAGCCTCCTCCTCCATGGAGCCCTTGCAGATGGTGCACACGTGTCCCACGTCCCACACGCAGACACCCAGGGCACAGATGCTGGGCGTCACCCACATGGACACACAGCTCCCTTGAGGCTCTGGCCCCAGACACCCCATAACCTCACATGCACACACATCCCAGAGCCCTCCATAACCTCATGCATCCCCATGGACCCCCCCAAAGCCTCCCCCCATCACATGCTCTATAACCCCATGCACACGAACCCCGCAGGTCCGAACATGCAAGCCCACAGCCCCGCCGCCTGCCCCACACCCCACAGTCCCGTGCCAGCCCCTGCATGCACCCACACAGCCCCTTTCCCCGCTCAGCCCAAGCCAACGATCCCCCAGGGCGGGGAACCCTAGGACCCCTGGTTCGGGGTCTGCTCCCCCACGGGGGTCTCGGCAGCGGCATTGCCCCCCACTCACCTGCATGCGCTCAGCCGC